GAAGCCCAGGACAGCACGGATTAGCAAAACACTTGACTATGGCTCAGGCCACCCTGTGCTGATAAGTTTCTTAGTTTCTTTGCCCCTTTCTTGCCTCGTGCTGCATTTGGTCCTTGCAAGGATCAGCCCTGAGAAGGACCTTGGTGGTGACCTGCCCACGCTGACCACTCCTCCCCAAAATCACAAAGCAGCCATTCTCTGAGGAGCCAGACCCAGCTGTGGGAAGCAGGCTGCTCTTTCAGCCTGACCTGGAGACACAGCCTGACACTTACACCCGCCAGAACCAAAAACCACCAGCTTCCTGACACAGATTTTGGGGGGATTAGCCGTGGAAACATAAAACATCCCAGTCTGGCCCCTTGTCCTTGGAGTCAAGGCAGAAACACTGAGTCAGAACAGAAGGCAGCATCAGAACACAGGAGGAAAACATCACTGCCTTCGCCATCATCATCCAGTGCTGCTGAAAGCCTGGACCTTCTCCTGATAAATCCTGTCCTGGAAACCGACTATCTCAGCGCAGATAGTGCCGTGTCTGCATCATTACATTTAATGCAGAAATAATACCTAACCATCAATTGTGGCTTGTTCTCCTACCAAATGAAACACTCTATTCATGGTTTTTCGTAGCTGAGTGCTCTCCCCTCTGCTGAAGAAATATGGAGTAAAAATAGGTGGAGAAGGGTTTTGCCACAAAAGAAACATTGACATAAGCCATCAAGTGTTTTGTTTGAGAAAGCGGTTGTGTACACTATGGTTACCACTGCTGCTAAGCCTGACTCCTTTGGAGAGTTTTAATTTGCCTTTGAAAACATATTTCACTTGAAGCATAGGAAAGAGAAGTACTGGGGGAAAAAAGGCTTTTCTTAAATGTGGAATCTGAGAACTTGCAAAAAGTCCATTGTTTCAGAAGATTTTGCGGTTTCTGAAAACACACTGGGGTTTAGATAACTGAATCACTCCAGAATAAGGAATCAACCTACATATCTGTACTTCTGAGAGGCAAACTGGGGCAACGGACTCATTTTCAGCATAGCTGCCGTGGCAAAGCCCTTTGCAAGTAGATGGGAGTGGGAAGCTGGACCTTCAGAGCCACTGGCCAGGTGGAATAACTTTGAAAGGATCTTTGATTTCGCTCTAACTGACCTTTGTGCTGCTGACATGAAAATCACGTGAATTATTTCCTTTACTTTCACATAAAGTTTTTTTCACACAGAGCAGCTCAGGAGGGGGGAAAAAAGCATAGAAGAGACAAAGAAAAGGTGATTGTGAAGCCACAAAATATAGCTCAAGAGAACCTATGCCAGACAAATTAGATTTTCCTTGAGAGACTGTGTTTCAAACCCACAATATTCTTTCAAGTGACGGGAAGCGCTTTTTTTCCACAGATGTTCAGTTTGATATTTGCACATAGACTGTAGCCATGGTCTAATTAATTTCAGATATTTGAAAACAATGGTTTCTCATAAAGAACCATTTAGGGCCTGTGTTTCACATTTAAAATGATAATCATTGTTGAGTCAGTAACATAAAACCTGTGCTTAAGAAGTGTGTAATGAAAATAGTATTCTTCTTCATCTCTGGACTACGACGTAGCTGGGAGGATTATTTTTTTTCCCTGAGTGATATTGCTTTAGGATGGAGACAAAGCCTAAACATTTTCCCTTTTGTTGGGTTTTCTCACACAAATCCGAACATCTGAAAACAATGATTTGTCATGGGAGACTTTGGCAGCCTGAGCAAAGGTTTACTGTTTCCACTTTGCCTAAAATATTTACAAAGAAAAGTATCTGACATTCGCAGTAAATCAGACAATGTTTCAGGCCCCTGACATAACCCATGGAGGCAGTTTGCGTGGTCTCCAAGAGGTGGAAAGGAGATCCCCTATCTGTTTCAGTGCAGAAAGCCTGGCTCCCGGAGAAGGTGGGGAGGGTTAAATAAGATGAGATGAAAACACCGAAGGGCTGCAGCGGTCTGTTTTCCCAGCTTGATCCGCTCCTCACTTTCCCCAGTCATCCCGAAAAGCCCCGAGGGCCTCCGGTGTAACACACCCTCCTTCCCCCGAGGTTTTCCCCTGGCGGGCTGGGGATGCTCAGGAGGAGTTCCTCATCCCTCCCTCCGCAGCCCCACAGGAGCCCGGCCACCACCTCCGCCCGTGCCTTTGTCTGGCCAGCCCCAAAGCCTCCCCCGTGCCCAGAAAGCTCCATCCCACGCGGGAAGGGCAGGGGGATCGCGGAGCCCCCGGCCGGCTCCTCTCCTGCGGGTGAGGAACGGGGGGCTCCGCGCCTCCAGCCCCGGGGCCCCGAGGCTCCGCGGGGGCTCCGGGAGCTCCGCGCCGGGCGGAGAGGAGGAAGAGGAGGAGGAGGAGGAGCAGGGGGAAGGGGGTGGGTTCTGCATCCTCCGCTTTCTTCCCAGCTCCGAGAGCGAGCGGCTTTGGCCGGCCGGTTCCCATCAGAGCTCCGGCAGCCGCGGGGTGGGAAGGGAAAGGGGAGGGGGGAAGGGTCTTTTCCCTCTAAAGAAATAATAAATTTTTTTTCCCATCGTGAAAAAGAAAAAAGAGGTGCCAGCAGCGAGCCGACCCGAGGCTGGTTAGCCCCGGGCTATAACTACTGGTTGCTTCTTGCTGGTGCTTGTAGGGCAGAGAGCTGCGCTACCCCCCGGCCCTATCCCTGTTCAGAATTCTGGCCAGACTCAGGATCTCCCCATCCCTTGGAGGGGTGGCCACCAGCCCAGCACAGTGGGAGCAGAAACCTGCAGCTTCCCCTCGTGGAGCTGTGCTGCTGCAGCCAAAGCTGTGAGAGGATGCTCCACAGCAGAGCAGGGGCAGCGGGGTCACCCTCTTCTCTTCCCATCCTTTGCCAGGAGCAGCTGCTCAGTCTCCAGTGGACAAGAGTCATGGGGTGATGAAGAAGCAAGCTCAGGGCTGCAGAAGTGGCTCCTGCTTTGCTAAATGTCGCCCCTCCCGCCTGAAGCCAAGGCAGGGAGAAGAGTGGAACAGGTGAAGCTGGGAAGCTGGAGACACTGAAGGCTAGAGGGGCAGCTTGACTGTGGTGACTGGTCATTTAAAAGCTCCTTGTTTGTCCTGAAGGGTGGTCTGGAAAAAGGGAGACACCCAGTGCCATGGGGGATGTCCTGGTCTCCTTTCCAGAGGCTGGGATGGAGCAGGATGGTCTCCAACCTCTTCACTTAGGAAAAGGAGTGGGCCAGAGAGATTCCTGCCTTACACATATGTCTTCAGAGGTCTTGTCTGCAGCCTGGAAAGGCTGAGATTGTGTGGGGAGAGGGAACAGTGCCCTTACTATGTGTCTCACCCAACCCCCTTATGACTGGAGGGGCAGAAGAGGCTTGTTTGAACCAGTGTGGGAGAGGTTCAACGTCAGTATCCTCCTTTCATCACAGCACTCTGCAGAGGAAGTGTGCACTGCCTCAGCAGTGACACTGGCGAGGCAGGCAAGGATACCAAAATCAGGAACTGCGAAGCCTCTGTGTGAATTTGCATCAAACACCCTCAAAAAACGTGCCCACAACTGTTTACAGTGCTTCTTTGAAAACAGAGTGTTGTCAACTCTTCTGACGCACGATTTCAAGGATGTCAAGGATTCAAGAAATTTCAAGGATTGAGAAACCTCGTCCCAGCTCTGGCGTGTTTAGGTGTGGCAGTGCCCAGGAGGCACACGCACCATGCCGGGTCTGACCCAGGCACGGGGAACTGGGGGGCACTGGTGCTGCTGGGAGGTGGCAGTGGTGGGAGAGAAGCCTCTCTTCAACATCCCAAGTAAGCAATTGTGTATTTACTCCGTGTAAGGAGGAAAAACAAACAAGCTGTGCAAGCTGAGATAAGGTTTTCAGCCAGCGCTCCAGCTCCATTCACCCAGGCCACAGCTCACACAAAGCTGATCTGGCTTAAGCTTCCAGGTCTCCATTTCTCCCTGCTTGGCTGTCATCTCTTCCACCTCCCGCCCCTCCAACTTGGCACCGAGGTCTGTCTTTGGAAACAAGGGCTTTGGGCTTGTCTGAAATCCTCTGTCAGTCTAACTCTGGGGACATAGCAGCTGGAACAGCAACAGTGAGAGGAGCTGAAGGAAAACTCCTTCTGCCTCTTCCTAGTGTTCGTACCTGGGGCTGCCAAAAACGTGCCCAGAGCAGTGCAATCAGACACACCTATTTCTCCAGGCTTTTCTTTTCTGGCTCCAGCTTTACACCTTCCTGGAGGAGGGGGACTTCTGGCTTCTGCTTCTCCGAAAGGGAGCACGCCAGAGGAGCTGCTCTTGCCAGCATTTTGTGCTTGGTGAGGGTGCCTTAAATGTTTCCCACATACTGAGATAGGTACATTTTGGGATGAGGGCTGCCTGCAGAGCACACCAGACCCTTTATTAACTGGTGAACATCCCTTTGTAAAAGGGTGGTTTAGAGCTCCACTTATGACTTCATCTCTGAGAGGTTTGGACAGCAAATGCAGAGCCTAATCTTTAAAAAAAAAAAAAAAAAAAAAGGGAAAAAAAAGAAAAAGAAAGTGGCTGGAGATGCATGGGTGGAGAAGCTTGGCTCGCGCGGCTGCCGATGTGAGGCTGCCTGTGAATTGGCATCGGCAGGGGAAGTTTGGAACCAGCACCAATTTATTCTTTCACTGCAACCTCCGCTGAGACTGGGGAGGCAAAGGGGAAAAAGGCATTTCGGTCCCAGTCACTTTCCCCATTTCGACCGGCTTCGGGAGCCAGGGCGGAGGAGGTCTCTGCATTCTCTTCCCGGTTAATTGTCTAATTGGGGAACAATGCGCCTCTCGCAGCCGCCTGCCCCTCTCCGGAGGGCTCCGGGCGAGCTCGGAGGGACCGTCCCGCCGCACCGGGCTGCGGGTGCCGCTGCGGGTCTGGGGACCGGAGGGAGCCCCGAGGGGGCGGCCGGGCCGGGGGCGGGGGGCCCCGCTCGGCGGAGGCAGGCGCTGGGGGCTCTCCTGCGCCCAGCAGCTGCGGGAGCTTTGGAAATTGCAAGGAGGCTCTCGCAGAGCTTGTGAACCCTCCTCTCCCCGAGCCAGCGCCCCTCCTCTGCAGCGCTGACGGTACAACGATATAATAATGATGGGTGGCTGAGGCTCGCATTTGAACTTGCAGGCTCGCTCCCTTTGCCCGCAGCTCGGAGTCAGGTGCTCGCCGGCGAGAAGCGAGCGAAGGAAGGGGACAGCGAGCTCCGGCACAAGGGGAGAGCCCGGAACCACCGGCTCCTTCCAGCACTAACGAGGGGATTTACTCTTTCATGCGGCCACTGGGATCTCTGGACTAGCCCAGCCACCACGTTGTGATTTTTTGCTATCTCTGCAATACGCTACCTTTTAAGGTAACTATAACTCTTTTATTGCGGGTTGGTTTTTAGTGTTCTTTTTTTTTCCCTCCCCCCCCCCACCCTTTTCTATAATATGACTGTCAGCAAACACCTAGTCTAAGATTTAAAACAATTGTTTTACTGCTTGCACCAACAAAGAGTTTGAACTGCAAATCTTAAGCGGGAGGGAATAGCGATGATTGGTGAATTTAAACAACCTGGGGTAAGTTCAACGACACGCGGGGGAAGAGGAGAAGGAGGGATGCTCGGGAACCTACAAAAAAAAGCAAAAAAAAACCCCAAAAACCAACAAAACAAAAAAACTAACACGAAAAACCGACCAAAAAAGAGAAGAAAAAACCGGTGCAAAAAGGAGAACAAAGAAAACTAGGGAGTAGAAGACTTTGGGGTGGGAGCCCTGAGAAGAGTGTTCGGTGCTGGTGGTTTGGATGGCTGGGAAGGTCGAGCCGCACCTTGGCGTGCGACAAGGCTCCGGAGGGAGACAGGAGGAAGCTGTTCCTTACGGGTGCTAAGTACACAAAGCGCCCGGGTGGCAGGAGCGACGAGAATGGACCTTTCCCCACGGCCACCAGTTTTCTAGCGCTGGGAAAAGCGTGCGCTCTGTGTCCTCCACTCCTGTGTGCTCCCCACATCCCTTCCCCTTTTTTTTTCCTTTTTTTTTTTTTTTTTTTTTTTTTTTTTTTTTTTTTTTTTTTTTTTTTTTTTCTTTTCCCTTCCCCTGATGTTCCTGGAAAGCTGCTCGCAGGGCAGAACGGCTCTGAGGTGCTCAGCATCTCTCCAGAGGAGCCGGGAGAGCAGCGTGCCCCGAACCACATTTTTCTCTGCGGAAAGGGGGGCAGTGGGTGAGGAGGAGGAGGAGGAGGATCGCAAGGTCAGTGGAGCAAAACGCCCCCTCTTACACCCACGTCCACCTTCTGGGGCACGGGCTTTGCCTTCCCCCTCCGCTGCCAGGGGTTTCGCCTTTGTGTTACAAAGGAAAAGTGAGAGCACGGTGGAGGGCGAGCGGGGAGTTCCGACGGCGGGAGGGAGCGGGTGTGGGTGTGTGCGTGTACAGATGCGTGTACAGATGTGCGTGGATGTGTGTACAGATGTGTGTGTGCGGGCACGGCAGCGGGACACCGCGGGCAGCCCCCGGCCCCGTCCCCACACAAAGGGGCAGCGGGCGGGGGCCGGCCCTCATTGTCCCCCTGGTCACGTCCTCCCGGCCACCCCTCTCCTCCCTCCCTGCACTGGCTCTCGGGATTAAGCCCCCGTGGCTTTTTTTTTTTTTAATTTTTTTTTCCTTTTTCCCTTCTCATTTATCACCCGCTTCCCTCGGCTTTTCTCCCTTTCCCCTATTCTCTTCCTTCTTCCTCTTTTTCTCCTTCTTTCCCTTCCTCCCCCTTTTCCCCTCCTTCCTTTCCTTTCCCCCTCTTCTTCTCTCTTTTCCCTTCTTTTTCCTTCTTTTTGTTTCATCCCCCTCCTCTTTCTTCCTTTTCCCTACTCGTTTTTGCCTCCCTTTCCCCCCTTTTTGCCCTGTCCCTCCCTTTTTCCTCCCTTCCCCTTTTCCCCCCTTTCCCTCCCTTTTTTCCCTTTCCTTCCCCTTTTTCTCCTCCTCCCTCCACCTTCCCCTCCCCTTTTCTTTCCCTTTTTTTTGTTAATTGAGGCGTGAGCGTCGAAACGCGCTTCATAAAAAAAACCAAAAAAACCCCAAAACCCATCCCGGGATGGTAAAGCGTAAAATGCTGGGTGTCTTAGGGATTGTTACTTCCGTGCCTTTTCTGTTTAACCCTTTTCTCATTCTTTGGCCTTTCGGAGCGAGCGAAGGGGGAAGTTTTCCTCCCGCACAACGAGCGCGCGGGGCGAGCGCGGGACGGGGCGGGCGCCGGGGCGGGGGGGGGCGGTGTCAGGGCTGGGTTTTGCGGGGGGATTTCCGCGGCGGGGCTCACGGTGGAGTGCGGGTTTTGGGGTGACGGGCTCGGTATTTCCGAGGGTCGCGGTCCGGGCTTGGCGCTGCGGGCCCGGGGGCGCGGCCGCTGTCGAGGAACGCGGCGGGCGCGGCGGCGCCCCCGCGCGGCGAGCGGCGGCGTGGCGGCTCCCGCGGCCGCCGGTTTCCCGCCAGAGGGCTCCGGGCCCGTCCCCGTGAGGGGAGAAAGAGGCCAACCGCAGCCGTGACTAAACAATTTAAAATGCGCAGCACCCCCTCGATAAAAGCCGCTGTTTCTCCATCAGCCCTGCGAGTCCTCTGCACAAGGAGGGTGGGGTGGAGCAGCTCTGCTGGCAGGAAAGGCTGGCACAGGCGGCATTGTTCAGAGGGCAGGGCTGGGTGGGATGTTAGGAATCAGGAATTGTTCCTGCGGTGCCCACAGCAGCTGGGGCTGCCCCTGGATCCCTGGGATGCCCAAGGCCAGGCTGGACAGGGCTGGAGCACTGGGACAGTGGCAGTGTCCCTGCCGTGGCTGGGGTGGCACTGGATGGAATTTAAAATCCCTCCCAACCCAGTCCATCCCGTGCGCCTGTGGCGCTGAGGCACAGCAGCAGGACGGACAGTCACGGCTGTGACTGTGCTGGCGGTGTGAGGTGGGGCTGTGGGGATGGCAGAGGAGCTGGGGGCTCCCGCAGCCAGCCCCGTGCCCAGCCGTGAGACGCCGGGTGAACCCCAAGGGAGAACCCCAAGGGAGAACCCCAAGGGTGATCCCCAAGGGAGAACCCCAAGGGTGAACCCCAAGGGAGAACCCCAAGGATGAACTCCAAGGGTGAGCCCCAAGGGAGAACCCCAAGGGTGATCCCCAAGGGTGAACTCCAAGGGTGAACCCAAGGGTGAACCCAAGGGTGATCCCCAAGGGTGAACCCAAGGGTGAACCCCAAGGGAGAACCCCAAGGGTGAACCCCAAGGGAGAACCCCAAGGGAGAACCCCAAGGGTGAACCCCAAGAGAGAATTCCAAGGGAGAACCCCAAGGGTGATCCCCAAGGGAGAACCCCAAGGGAGAACCCCAAGGGTGAA